TGGACGCTCATGTGAACTGCATCTTGCTACTTGCGGGCAGCCTTCCATTGTGTACTGGAGAACAATTTTTAACGCCACGCGACGAAAGCACTGCTGCTGCTGCTGCTGCTTATGACGATCAACCGGACACCACCAGTGATTGAATAAGCACCGTTCAGCGAGACCGGATGGAATTCGATTTTGAAATCTGTGTTAGGGAAAGAACTTTTTGCAGGCAATCGGTGATTATTTGATGATACCAGCTGGAAATTTGTGTAATTTTCAATAGTGACCTATTGAAAATTGATACAGTGTTCATTTTGGCGATTTACTATGGACGATGTTATAACATGTTTTTAAATCATAGTACATTGGAACCTCCATTTACGAACCAAAACGGGGGTTCGTAAATCGAATTAGTGCGTAAAAAAAACCTCGTTATTTGGGATTTACTTCGTAAAAAGAAAACTCGTTATTTGGGATTTACTTCGTAAAAAGAAAACTCGTTATTTGGGATTTACTTCGTAAAAAGAGGTTTTTGAAAATATTGTCAAATACCTCACAATATGGGTATTTTTGGAATCAGGGTGACGTTTATGGACCGGAAATCGATGTCTGACGCCATTTTGAAATCCAAGATGGCGGCTTCCGGTTACAGAAAAACTTCAAAATTCTGTCATATACCACACAATATGGGTATTTTTGGAATCGGAGTGCCGTGTAGGGACCGGAAATCGATGTCTGACGCCATTTTAAAATCCAAGATGGCGGCTTCCGGTTACAGGAAAACATGGAAATTCTGTCAAATACCCCACAATATGGGTATTTTAGGAATCGGAGTGACGTGTAGGGACCGGAAATCGATGTCTGACGCCATTTTAAAATCCAAGATGGCGGCTTCCGGTTACAGGAAAACATGGAAATTCTGTCAAATACCCCACAATATGGATATTTTAGGAATCGGAGTGACGTGTAGGGACCGGAAATCGATGTCTGACGCCATTTTGAAATCCAAGATGGCGGCTTCCGGTTACAGGAAAACATGTAAATTCTGTCAAATACCCCACAATATGGGTATTTTCGGAATCGGAGTGACGTGTAGGGACCGGAAATCGATGTCTGACGCCATTTTGAAATCCAAGATGGCGGCTTCCGGTTACAGGAAAACTTGGACATTCTGCCAAATACCCCACAATATGGGTATTTTTGGAATCGGAGTGACGTGTAGGGACCGGAAATCAATGTCTGACGCCATTTTGAAATCCAAGATGGCGGCTTCCGGAAACAGAAAATATTGGAAATTTTGTCAAATATCCCACAATATGCGTATTTTTGGAATCGGAGTGACGTGGAAGGACCGGAAATCGATGTGTGGCACCATTTTTATATCCAAGATGGTGGCTTCCGGTAACAGAAAAACTTCAAAATTCTGTCAAATACCCCACAATATGGGTATTTTTGGAATCGGGGTGACGTGTAGGGACCATAAATCGATGTCTGACGCCATTTTGAAACCCAACATGGCGGCTTCCGGTTACAGGATAACAGAAAAATACCGTAAAATACACAAAAATATGGATATATTTGGAATCGAGGTGAACTGTGAGAACCGAGAATCCATGTCTGACGCCATTTCGAAATCCAAGATGGTGACATCCGGTTACAGAAACACTGGGAAATACTGTCAAATACTCAACAATACGGGTTGTTTGAAATCGGGGTGACCTATTAGGACTGAAAACCCATGTCTGACGCCATTTTGAAATTCAATATCGCAACTTCCGGTTACATAAAAACATAAAAGTAAAATTACATAGCATACAATATGGGTATCTTAAGAATCAGGGTGACGTGGTGGTATTTGCCAATTTTTCTGTAACCGGAAGCCACCATCTTGGATTTCTAAATGACTTCAGACATCGATTTCCGGTTCTTAGAAGTCACTCCATTTCCAAAAATACCCATATTGTGGGGTGTATGACAGAATTTCCAAGCTTTTCTGTTACCGGAAGCCGCCATATTGGATTTCAAAATGGCGTCAGACATCAATTTCCGGTCCCTAAACGTCACTCCGATTTCAAAAATACCCATATTGTTTGATATTTGGCAGAATCTCCATGTTTTATGTAACCGGAAGTTGCCATCTAGGATTTAAAAATGGTGTCAGACATTGATTTCCGGTCCCTACACATCACTCCGATTCCAAAAATACCCATATTGTGGGGGTATTTGGCAGAATTTCCTAGTTTTTCTGTAACCGGAAGTCGCCATCTTGGATTTCAAAATGGCATCAGACAGTGACAGAGACATCGATTTCCGGTTCTTAGAAGTCACTCCATTTCCAAAAATACCCATATTGTGGGGTGTATGACAGAATTTCCAAGCTTTTCTGTTACCGGAAGCCGCCATATTGGATTTCAAAATGGCGTCAGACATCGATTTCCGGTCCCTAAACGTCTCTCCAATTTCAAAAATACCCATATTGTTTGATATTTGGCAGAATTTCCTTGTTTTATGTAACCGGAAGTTGCCATCTAGGATTTAAAAATGGCGTCAGACATTGATTTCCGGTCCCTACACATCACTCCGATTCCAAAAATACCCATATTGTGGGGGTATTTGGCAGAATTTCCTAGTTTTTCTGTAACCGGAAGTCGCCATCTTGGATTTCAAAATGGCGTCAGACATTGATTTCCGGTCCCTACACGTCACTCCGATTCCTAAAATACCCATATTGTGGGGTATTTGGCAGAATGTCCAAGTTTTCCTGTAACCGGAAGCCGCCATCTTGGATTTTAAAATGGCGTCAGACATTGATTTCCGGTCCCTACACATCACTCCGATTCCAAAAATACCCATATTGTGGGGTATTTGGCAGAATGTCCAAGTTTTCCTGTAACCGGAAGCCGCCATCTTGGATTTTAAAATGGCGTCAGACATCGATTTCCGGTCCCTACACGTCACTCCGATTCCAAAAATACCCATATTGTGAGGTATTTCACAGTATATCCCAGTTTCCCAAAATCACAAAAAAAAACTCGTTATTTGGAATTTACTTCGTAAAAAGAAAACTCGTTATTTGGGATTTACTTCGTAAAAAAAAACCTCGTTATTTGGGATTTACTTCGTAAAAAGAGGGACGTAAATTGAATACTGCGTAAAAAAAGACTTCGTAAACGGAGGTTTCAGTGTATTACATATGTTAGTCTGTGGATCTAATTCCGTTAAAAACAAACATGTTTTGGTTTCAGCATTAGAAATAAAATGTTGTAACTATGAATTTACGAAAACAAATCGATATCGAGTAATTTATTTTTCAAAACAAATAATTAGCCATGTTTGAGGTTAAGTCTGCTTTTAACGCATGCCAATATACAACTCAACTAGTACCCGATGAAACTGTGTGAAATATTTTTCGTTGTTGTATAAGATGTAAATTTAGCACACATATTTCAAATCTATGAAATCTGTTTTGTAAACAATGACATTCCTAGTCGATTTCTCGTGAATCTAAACTTACTCATGTTAAATAAAAACATCATCTGTTAGAGGAATATCTATTATACCAGGTAGTATTCTTACTTTTCATTGGTTAATGAGGAATCGTCGGTGTATGTTTGCAAAAAGTAGTTTCGCCCTTTAGAAAAGTTTCTGCTGAGTTTATCTCTTGATATTAATCATCTTGGACAAAGAAATGAGTAACAACAAACGCTGCAAAGATGCATTGATCTTATTCCAGTAGTGATGTCAGAGAGGCATTTCTTGAACAGTAGTGCTGTGGAATATGATGAAATATGCAAAATGCTGGCTATCAATCTTGTATCAACTGAGGCGAGTGATTGATGCCACTCTGCAAATGCAATTCCCTGAAGGTGCACTGCTTCAACTAATTGACTTTTTGTTTTGCCAATAGAGGATGTGAAAAATTGTAGCAAATTGATGTTTTAATTTACAACAATAAGTTAACTATTACAAACGTGATCTTCTTCTTTTGGCTTTATTATGTCCCTGCTGGGGTTTTACGCTGGCTCTCTGATTATTTATTTTTTGTTCCTACAGTTGTTAATTGAGATATTTCTAAGCCTGTATCATTTTTACAATAGTATTACTTTTGGCAAGTACAATCATACTCTTAGAGCTGGGGCTTCAACTATCCGGATACTTCAGAATTTTTTTTTTAATAAAATGACTTTCAGACAAATGGAATATCAATGAATTGGTATTCAGAATACAGAATATCATGCTTTCTAGTGCCCAATATTGAAATAAAATAAATTGAGAAAACATTGAGATGGTTATCAGGCGGATAGTAACTATCCGGATATCAGAATAGTGAAATTTCAAATTTGTTCTCCCTTCAACAGTTTTCTTTTTTACTGTTCCAAATATGTGTCAAAACGTTGGTTTTTAGGTGCCCATGTGGCCTGATGTAGAATGGCAAATTTGTTAACTGCCTAAATTTAATAAAATTGAAAAATCAAAATAACCGGATAATCCGAGTCCCAGTATGATAAACTCTATGCCCGTCGAGAAATTGTCCAATCCAAAGAATACCTAGACCGGACCGGGATTCGAACCCAAACACCTCCAACATGGTCTTGCTTTATAGCTGTGCCTTTACCAACTGGGCTAAGAGAGGTCCGCTACAAACGGGATGGTATTGATGAAAATACAGTCAGATCAGCCAATGATCAACCATACAAATAGTAAAATAATTCATTACACATTCTAATTGAGCAATTGATGTGCAGTCGTCTGTACGCCAACCCCCGCTGTTACTGTAAGGAAAGGCCTAACTCGATAAGTTCAAAATATAAGTGCGCAGAGAACAAACCAAGTGCGAAAAATATAAACACAGTCAACTCTCCATATCTCGATATTGAAGACATCGAGATAAATAGAGATCGAGATATAGAACAACATTTACCTACTAGACCGCTTGAAGGGACTGTACAATATACAACAAAGTGGTCACATATCGAGATATAGAACATCGATATATGGAGAGTTGACTGTAATCCAAATTGATCGCGTCTTTTGAAGAGGAGAATAATGATCAAGACATCGATAATTGCAGCATTTTACAAATTTATCATCGTGCACGGTGTCCGATAGCTAGTGTTAATGGGCCAGGTATATAACATCGGTGTTATTTTATGATCTTATAATTGTTCGCTGATTGAGTGCGGCCGGTTGAAGTGAGTGAGTACGCTGGGCCGCTAAGAGATTCCATAAATTTACATAAGCCGACAACTGCCATCTTTCATCTTCGCGTGTCAATGAATGTGTGCGCCAATGGGACCTGTTGTTGAACGAAGAAGAGTGGTTTGAAGAAACAGAGTACTTTCTGTTCCTAATCTGTGCAACGACGATAGCAGAGGCAGTGGGGTCCTCTGCTTGTAGTTATGGATATCCCAGCAATGCCCAAGGATGATTGATGAAAGTCATAATAAGCAACTACATGCTATCAACCAATTATCATGATCTGGATATTATTTCAACGGGATAATGATCGCACGTGTTATGGATTAAAATGAGAAACGTTCCGCTGATCATATGTATGATATTCATGTTTGTCGAAATAAGGTAAGAAGTTATATTATGCTTGACAGTTATTGCAATTTGATTTAAATATGATTAATATCGCTGATTCATGAAGCTAGTAGATATGGCAAAGTATTTACGCATTATTTTGGCATGTGTTGTGCACTATTACCATGAGGTTGAAAAAACTTTTACTATAAATCAGATTGAAAAAATAAAAAAAGTTAGATTATTTTATGTTTCTTAGTGCGTTATTTTATTAAGTAAGTAAGTATGCATCACCATACCTAACAATTTACGCTGCAAATACGGTGCTGCTCGGTTGGATAGAAGTCTGATGGAATACCACAAAATGCTTTTCATACGTCACATTTCGATTTATTTTGCAGAAAACGGAAGAAGGATTTATTTCTGCAAAGACTTGCTTTTCACTTAATTTTGAACTTTTGTGCTTGAATCAAAACAAAATAAAACTTCGCAACGAAGAGCTTTTTGATGGCATGAACATTATTCACGGATTCCAGTAAGAGCATTTATTGTCATGGTGCCTCCACTTATCTATGAAATCTATAGTATCTATAGTGTGCATGATGCAAAGATATTTGCAACTGTGACGTTTACAGTTTGAATGCTCTTAATAGGGTGTCCAGCAAACCGTTTATGTTAGCTTAATTTTTCTGAAAAAATATCGTTTTCTGTGTTTCAGTTACGCATTGAAATGCTGATCATGATTCAAAAATCCGTTTTACTAATATTGAAAATTTGAATTCGGTATGCCTTTTGAGAGCTCCGAGAATTGAGGTTTCAAATGTTAATTATTAAAAAGAATCCAGTGCTGGAGAAAGAATTGATTTCGATAGTTGTCAATTAAATACATTCGAGATGTAAGAAGCATTGAAATTGAACTTCAAAATCTTCAATATTAATTTTCACAGATGTAAAAATACTCCTTCCTTCTGCCTGCACTTTTGATTGGTAGCATAAATTTATCTTTCATCGGTACAGATTACGCACATATATCTTGTTAATTTCTGATCGTATCTCTTTCACCATATTATTAAACATAAATATTTACATTTATTACTACTTGTTTTATTCCTTTTGATTTTGATTCGCTCTCATGTCGCGAGCTGAAGATATCACGTTGGCTGCGTTGGGATATTCAGGCTTTTTTTTGCCAACTGCTTCGACAGCTAGCTGTCTGGACTGCAGCAACAGCTAGCTGCCTTTACTATATATGTGGGCTTGTGATTTGATTTATGACTTTCAGTAGGTACGAACTCACAGCGGGTTACGAGTTGTGAGCATGCAGGGCTTTCCGCGCCGATAAGTGTAGCGCCATCAGGACATAGTTTTATTAGGGAAGAGTGGGGAAAGTTGTTATATTTAGAGAATAAAGCATTGTGTGTGTTTTTAAGGGCTATATCAAGTGATTACTTTATAGCATGGGTTTGGCATGCATCTTAATTTTTTTTTCCGACTAAAAAACACTTTGATAATGCAAAAATAAAGCTCGCCTGATTTAAAAACAGCTAGAACCAAATCGACTTCGATTAGACCTGCTGATGTAATTTGTGATAACTGTCGAACTCTCCGTGTTGAGGCAACTAGCTGATCACCAAGTAAATAGTGGGCGGCCTGCAAGATACGTAAATCAAATAGAGATATACCGTAAAACGGGGTATCTTTGATAATGCGGTTAACTTTGATAGTAGAATATAATGATTTAATTTACTATCTACCTTTTTTCCGAATAAGAAACATTGGTTCCATATTGTAGCTTGGAGCATTCCCCTTGATATCGCATATAATTTTTATATAGTTTGTGTTACATGTTTTCCAAACATGTTGAAAAAAAAATTTCTTGCTTTTTGCCTGTTTAAAAAGCACTCAAACCATCACTTATGAAAGGTTTTTCTGATACAGCCATCACAAATACAATGTTGTCTTATTATTGCTTATGGTGTTTCTGATTATATACTCATACAATGTTTCATATTTATTTTACTAAATTGTTTGAGATTCACGCATGTTTTTCTACATTCATCGACCATTATCAAAGTAACCCCAAATCAAAATATTGATGTTCGTTCACAAGACTAAAAAAATAGTGCAAATGCAATAAGTTTCGTTAAATATACTACTAACGAATTGACTCTAAGATCCTATGTACTTGTTTAAAAAAAATAAAATTTGAGAAACATTAATTGATGTAAAAAGTATTTAGAATATACTTAAAAAAAAAAACTATCAATGTTACCCCGTTTTACGGTACTACAAAAATTCTAATAAATAGACGCATTAGTTGAAATGCTCCAACTAAGCAAAATACAATGGTTTGGTCGTATAAAAATCGGTCTGACGGAGTTAGAGCGCTCCAAATTTGGATAAAAATTTGTCTACACCGATTATTTTAGTGATCCCCCAAATTACTAATTGCAAATGTCTAAAACATCTACATTTATATAAAAAAAATGCGATGTATGTGATTTAATTACTTATGACTCAAGCTAAAGTAGAATGAGATCGTTGGATAGTACCTTTTTCGAAAAATCGCTAAAAATCGAGGCGCAAATTATGTAAAAAAAAAAAACGAGTTAATTCCGAAATCCACGTAAAAAACCGCGTTAATTCCGAAATACACGTGAAAAACCCGCGTAAATTTCGGAATGTGCGTACAAAAAACCGCGTAAATTCTAAACTCCCCGTATAAAGCAACTACAGTGTACTCCCTGTTGGAGAATGTAACTTCAGCGGTTTCTGAAACATATTGTATCCGAAGCGGTCTTCAGTACCGAGATGAAGAGGGACATCTATTCTGTAAAAAAATGTTCTCGTTTGTTAACGTACATAAGAGTGACTTATGGTAATCGCCGGTGTTTTTCGTACTAAGTCCTGTCATGCAGTGTAATCGATGCTAAGAAACAACGCTTTACCCACTTTTAGAGACTAAAATTTATTTATTTATTTGCCGTTGACCGATCATGGAGATGGTTTATTTACAACTGACTTAGTCGTCTGGATTTACCAAAATCTTCATTGAGTTCACTCATAGTCCAGAAGGAATTTATTTAATGTTTAGAATATTGAAAAACGACTAAAGTTTGCTCTCTAAAGAATTTGTATATTTTTAGATCACGTAAGTTTATTTGTATCTTTTCTACAAACCTGAAAATACAAAACATTAAGTTCCAGTATTTAGTAGTGACAGACAAATCAGCTTCCAACTGAAAATTTCCTGGGTTTGCTAAATAGCTTGTTTACTGATTCGACAAAAATATAGATAATTCAATATCGTATCTGTCACCAAGTGTCATGGTTGTTTAAACAAAAATAAACCTTCCAACGAGAAATCAGAACATCTGAACATCAGAAGCCCATTCAAAAGATTCCACATCCTTTCGAAGATAATACATTTATATTATTTAGTGAAAAATACGTTTTGGGTATGATGCTCGTAGATTGAATTCAAGGTGCTCAAAAGGAAAAAAACGATTATTAATCGAAATTAATAAATATAAAAAGTAATATGAAACATATTTTTCTTATTTGAAAAAGTTGAATAATTTTCAAAAAATCTGTATATTTTTCAGAGAGTTAGTTACTGCGCGTTAAGATGGCTCTCGCAAGATTGATTGCAATAATCAATTTTAATTTCAATTCCGATTCCGAACAAATTCTTAATCTTAACTTCTATTGATGTCTAATTTGCTTTTGGTTCAAATGTTTCCTTTTTCTTGCTGCTGATACTGTTTTTCGGTGGCTGCTGTGACCACGAAGGGGCCGCATTAATCCGCACCCACCTTCATGAATGACGGTTCTGGAGTTACTCTTTCCGGCGGAAGTTCAACCATCAGCTGTTGCTGACATCGGGGATTGTTTAGGAAGCAGGTGATGCATTCGTGGAGGATTCGTCATGCAAGGTTGTGGATTTTTGTTAAACAAAATCTTTCTCTTGTGCTTGCGATCAGAACTTGATACCGGGAGTGAAGCATCTTCAAGTGGTAATGCCAAATTCCAGTATAGCAAGAGGATGACGATGTTCAATTATCATCGGATGCTTCCGACTTTGCAAAATCGGAGCATGTTGCAGCCGACCGCCAACGCGTCCCATGCCTTCATGGATCTGAGGATTTAGCGATGATATAATCGACGAATCTTGAATTTGCACCTTCCGAGACAAACTTGCTTTATCCTGCGAGAAGCATTCTTCTTACGACAGACGAACCAAGTGCTTGAGTGCGTCTTAATACTCCTGCGTCCGATTGACCAGGATTTCCTAGAAGTTCGGTTTGCTCTCTGGAAATCAGTGCTGCAAAATATCAATATCAATACCTACAAAATGCTGAACTTCACTAACAACCTGATGTCAGTATCAGTTCAGACAGTTAGAATATCAATATCATTCGCCTCAATGTCAGTGCGCAAATGACATTGATATCGTAAAAGGACCACTGATATTCGAAGTTCTAACTTACATGTTTCTTATATACACCAGCTAATTGAGTACCGATATTTAGAAAACTCATCAGTTATATTAACACAATGCAACGTTATAAAAACAAGTTGATTTATTGATATAAAAGTAATATTTTCAACTTTTCCCTAGTGATATTCATATCCGCCTAATAGCATGTCTACTGCTAATATCAGTGTCGAAATTTGATGAAATTCAGTGCTAGACCAATATCTTACGTCAATTGACATTGATGACAGCACGCAGCACTGCTGGGAATTGTGGTGAAATCAGCAAACCCAGACCACCAGACGAGCTAGGATGAAGGGCGAAAAGCTGAGTGAGAAGATTTCGCTCGGTGATGAAGCTTGTAGCGGCATGGTAACGGCACTACGTTTCTCAAGAACGGACTACTAGATCAAGCTGATCAATCGCTACTTGAGGATTCTCGGGTCAGAAGTTTTGACCTTGGTGTAGCCAGATGGGACCTCTGAAACAACTGCTGTGCTGCTGATATTTCTCTTGAGGGAACGTCGACTGGGTTTCCTATTCCTGCGACGTGGTTCCACACTCCTCATTCTGTATG